GCTTGGCTTTGCTGCCCCAATCCCAGCACCAAGCCTCGAGAAGGGTAAATCTTTATACAAACTGCATATATCACAAAGAAGACGGTAGAAGAAAGCCTTAATTATCCTTCCCAACGACAGTGTATGTGTTTTCTGGATACGCCCCCCACCTCACAAGACAACTGCACTTCTCAGAGGGAGATAAAACTTCACACAAACTGAACGATCACAAGGAAGATGAAACCTCACGAGTGTCCAGAATGTGGGAAAAGCTTCAGTCGTCATGATGATATGAAGACACACAGGAGGTTGCATACAGGAGATAAAACTCACGCATGCCCTGAATGTGGGAAATTATTCTGTCGCCTTCCTAAGTTGAAGCAACACATGGTGATGCATACAGGTGATAAACCTTTTGAATGTAGAGTATGCGGGAAAAAATTCAGATACCATAGTAATATGATGTATCACACGAAGGTGCATACGGGGAATAAACCCGACAATCCTTTCGAATGTCAAGAGTGTGGGAAAAGCTTTAGCCGCCGTAGCCAAATAATAAGTCACATGTCAGTGCATACAGGTGATAAACCTCATGAATGTCCAGAATGTGGGAAAACGTTCAGTCATCCTGAATATATGAAGAGACACAGGAGGGTTCATACGGCTGTTAAACATCACGAATGTCCAGAATGTGGAAAAACATTCGGTAATCTTGCATATATGAACAGACATAGGAAGGTGCATATGAAGGATAAACATCATGAATGCCCAGAATGTGGGAAAACATTCAGTCATATTGAAAGTGTGAAGAAACACATGAGAGTGCATACGAAGGATAAACCTCACGAGTGTCCAGAGTGTGATAAAAAATTCAGTCGTCTTGATCATATGAAGAGCCACAGAAGAGTTCACACAGATATTAAACGCTTTGAGTGTGCCGAGTGTGGGAGAAGATTCAGAGAACGCAGCGGTATTATAAGCCACATGTTAGTGCATGTGGAGGATAAACTTCACGCATGTCCTGAATGTGGGAAAGGATTCAGTCGTCTTGAATATGTGAAGAAACACATGCTGGTGCATACAGATGATAAACCTCATGAGTGTCCAGATTGTGGGAAGGGATTCAGATTTCGGAGCAATATGATAAAACACATGTCAGTGCATACGGATGATAAACCTCATGAATGTCCCGAGTGTGGGAAAAGATTTAGACACCATCATAGTGTGAAAAACCACATGTTAGTGCATACTGAGGATAGACCTCATGAATGTCCTGATTGTGGGAGAGGGTTCAGTCTAATTGAAAATATGAAGGCACATAGGAAGGTGCATTCAGATGATAAACCTTATGAGTGTCCAGAATGTGGGAAAAGATTCAGACATCGTTATGGCAAAGTAAGTCACATGTTAGTGCACACTGACGATAAACCTCATGAATGTCCGAAGTGTGGGAAAAGATTTAGGCATCGTACTAGTATGAGAAAACATGTATTAGTGCATTCAGATGATGAACCTCACTAGGCCCCATCTTGAGGGAAAAAAATTATAATTTGAGGGAAAAATTATGACAGTATTAATTTTACAAGACACCAGTGGTGTGTATGTTGGAAAAGTCTCCAGTGTCATTTAATTTGGTACTCTTGTATGAGATGTATATCAGGACATTAATTTTCCACTAATTAAATAACAAATTTAACAATTATGTCATCTTGAAAACACTGTGTTATCACCTAATCAGTTAGATGTCTTTCAGTGATGATTTTGCTTTCACATTTGTGTTAAACATTCACTGAGCATTAGAAGGCAGTTCTCTGGATCATATGGTATTTAAGTTATATTTAATTATTCCCATTTGTACAAGTAAGATGTACCTCACTGGTCACGTAAAAGAACATGGTAGCTGCAAGTGTTCGAAAAATCCAAATTCCCCCATAGGTAAATAAATTTGTTGCATTTTATCGAGTAACATGTAAACAAAGTTTTTGCATTACACAATTTTGCATTACATTAATATTAACTTAATTCTAGACTTTGTATTATATTGGGAAGCACTTCATTCATGGTGATTAACCTAGACCTAATTATTGTTTGTATTCATGTTATATGTTTACAAACGATTATGTATTGGGATGTCTGTTTTTAATTGAAGCATTTTTAAATTTAATGTACCTGGGAGGGTTCCGGTAGTACAGCCAGGTTCGTTCTCGACTCACAATTGGGAATTTCAGGTTTAAATCCCGGGAGGGACAGAAATGGTTGGGCGCATCTCCCATCACATACCCGGGTTCACCTAACAGTAAATAGATACCCATGAGTTAGCTGGCTTGTATGGTTGCAACTTGGGGAGGGTCAGTAGTTCGACATGGGGGGGGGGAGGGGACCTTGATATAAGCCTAACATGTATATATATATGCTGGCTGTCTGTCCCCCGACACAATGAATTATTTTGTGTTATTAATCCATATAAGTTTATATATGTTGACAAATATAAATGTAGTCTATTTTGTTTTGATTAAGAGGTTTAGTATGTTGTTGGTTTGATGAATGTAGATAATGTGTTGTTTATAATTAGTTTATATTTTTTAATAGATTGTATAAGCTGTGATTCTTGACTTTTATTTGTGTCCCATTAATTAATATTTGCAACTTATTTGACAATTCACTGTATCCACAGTCACTATAACTAGAAGTGTTCATTCAATTAATGAATAAATGTGCTTCATTTAATGTTTCCTTATTCACTGAGGAATCCTTAATATGTTACACAGACATCTTTAAGTTACAGTTCCAAGTTATTTGGTACTAAGGGAATTAAAGCATCAGATTAACCTATGTATTAACAATTCCCAAATAATGTTAAAATTAAAAGGTAAATTCCTTGGAGATTACATTGACAAGAAGCTGAATTTCCATTGTCATATACAAAAATGCCCCCCCCCCCCAAAAAAAAAAAGAAGTATCTAAAACAATAGGGATTCTCTCCAAGACCAGATACTGCATACCTTGTTCTGTCTTGGTATCACTTATTCTCTCATCTATCCATAACTCACTCACAGTATCTATGCCTGGGGATCTACAATCCAAACTTACCTTTGACAGTTAGTTACTCATCATAAATCACCAATCAGAGCTATTACAAACTCCGGTCTCAGTTTACTGAAATCCTTAAATATGTAAAGTATCTTCACTTCTCGTCAGGTCAGGTGTAACACAAACAACGGATGCAACGGTTTCAAGCTCAACAAGCCACAATGTAGGACAGAATAGAAGATGTTTTTTCACACACAGGGTTATAAACCCATGAAATAAATAAATAAAAATACATTTAGGTTCGTATCCTTGAGAAGTTTGGGTCTAAAAACTGGGACTGGCCTATTCGTACATAACCGTTTCGGATAACATCAGTTCGGTACACCAAAGTTCGTTCACTGACACTTTCGACTTTACCAACCCTTTCATATATACATATGCACAGGCGTGTGTTCACTGCTGTTCTCTTCTTACAAGACAATAAAATGACCAAAAACGAGGCAATAGAAGATTATAATAAGTTAAGAATATGAATAAATAGATGGCACATTATCATATAATTAGTGCGTCTTCAAATAATATGTGTTAGGTTCTTCTAATTGTCCTTATACAATTAATAATTTAACATGAATTAATTTAATTAATAAAATGATTTTTCTGCCTTAAGATTTTTATATTATGATAATCGCAACATATCTGCATTACATTACAGCAGATTGATAAAGAAAAATACCTTGGAGTCAAAATCCACCACTCATTAAAAGTTGCACATTAGGTGGGTGCAACAGTCAGAAAAGCTAACCAAACTCTTGGGATAATCAAACGTACTTTTGACTATAAGGAAAAGAAGGTAATTATGGTTCATCTAAATAAATATCTGGTGCTTATAGCAATCACTTAGATTACTGTATCCAAGCATGGAGACCTTATTTCCAGAAGGACATAGGTGCTCTGGAGAAAGTGCAACACTGGGTTACCTTGAGATGATTTCGGGGCTTAGCGTCCCTGCGGCCCGGTCCTCGACCAAGCCTCCTCGGCAACAACAATCATTCCAGAGCTAAGTCATCTCACGTATCAGAACGGTTGAGGGCCACCCACAGGACTAACAACACTACAGATGTAACAGAAACAAGGAGTAACAGTTTCAAGCTCAACAAGCCACAATGTAGGACTGAGAACAGGAGATGCTTTTTTACTCTCAGGGTTATTAACCCAAGGAACCGCCTACCCCCGAAGCCATAAATGCCAAAACTGTGTTGTTTTAAAATATACCTGGAAGAGATCAAGGCAAATGGGGGGGGGGGGAGACCTTCGACAAGCCGCTGGCTTCCTGTACTTGTCGAGGCCACTAGGGATAGTGGCCCTGGGGTAAATCAGGTAAACAGAACATGCAAATAATTAAGAAATAACAAATGTAACATGTCCATGTCAAACTGAGTACTATCATTTAACTTAAAATGTACACCCGTAGTAAGTAAGAGTAAGCTTAGCCTAGTGACATGGAAACGAGTTCTGCAGAAACTTAATAGCTTATCTGGTACTAGAGTAAGGCAGTGTAAATGTAATATAATTATATAACACTAAGTATAGCAGTCAGGACACAAAGAGTAAATATATCAAGTGAATATAGGCCACCTAACACTTAATGAAGCCCGACCAAGAGGCCGGAAAGACATAATGGTAAATCTTAGGTGAATTAACGGGAATTAAACAGGCGGGCAGAAAATACCTAGAGACTGGGGAAAACCTGATATGACAATGGGTGAAAATTTAACCCCAGGGCGTGAGGCTGTGCCGCCAAGAAATAAGGAGAAGGATTTCCTGACTAAAGGTAGGGCTTACTAGGACCTAGACTGACTGTAAAGGCAAAGTATTAGCTGCGGACAGCAGAACACTTGGAGACCGGCGCTGCACCCCAACTCCACAGGCCAGGAGGCCGGACCCCACCCCCCCCCCCCGAATGGCGAGTGCCCGCTGGCCGCGGGGAGGCCTCAGGGCGGCAGAACGACAACGTCCTGCCTGACGTAGGAAGTAAAAGCGTTACTCTTCCACCTGCCGACTGCCATTATCTCCGTTGGGGCGAACCCGTCTAGAGACAGCTGGGTGGCCCTGCCGATGCGAAAGGAATGCGGGGCGTAGTCAGCTGGGGGCAAGCCTAGCCCCGTGAGGGCAGTGCGAAGCATCCTGGAGAAATCTTGCCTGGTAACAGGTGCGCCTGCGGCATGTTTGAATATGGGCCCTGAGCCCGTGCCCCTGTAGTTAAAGTATTTAGACAGGGCGCGGACCGGGCAATACTTGCTGGAAGGGTTCGCTCTCAGGGAGAGGGTGGGCGTGCGACCTGCGCTGTGCTTGTAAGAGTTGAAGACAATATCGGTTCCTACCCTCGTAATTGATACCTGTTCCATGCTGAGCGTGTGTCGTCCTCGTTCCGCGTAGACCACCTCACCCGGGCATAGGCAGGCGTGGAAAGCCAGGGAAAAGAGCGCCCTGAAACAAGACTTCTCGTAGGCAGTGTTACATACGCCTCCCAGTGCCCGCAGCAGGTGGTGCAGGAGGCGCCTCGTCACAGGGCGACGCCACGCAGGGGCCCGTCGAGCGGAGTTTCGTGCCCCTTTGAGGAGTTGAGTGACCAGGAACTGTCGGGTTGGGTCCCTCCTACCATGAAACTTGCAGACGAAGGCGATGGCCGCTAGGTAGGCGTGAAGAGAACGGAATGCCAGGCCCCGCGAGAGCAGAGATTGCAGGAAGTTCACCAGGGTCGAGGGGTTAGCATCAAAGGGGCATTCTCCTCGCCGCCCTGCCGAGACGTAGGCAGCGTACTCCGCCCACTTAGCCCGGTAGACTCGCCGCGTCACTGGTTGCAGTGAGTTAAACAGGGTCCTTACAGTTGCAGGGCAGGAGGTGAGTGGGAACTACGGTCGGCGTCTCGCAGGAACAAGGGCGGCAGCGTCTGTGAGCGGGAAAGAGCGTCACAAACCCCGTTTAGTTTGCCTGGGAGGTGGGAGGGGATGAGCGTAATGTTATGTTTGAGCAGGAGCACTGCCAAAGGCCTGACAAGTTGCATTAGGAAGGGGCACCTAGCAGAGAGATGAGCACATTTACCACAGCACTGTTGTCCGATTTGCACACCAGCCTCTTATTTGCCAATACCGGGGCGAAGAGTGCTATACCCATGTAGAAACGGTAGAGCTCGAGCAATGCAATGTTGAGCCGACACCAGTCCTGTGGCCACGTTCCCCTGAACCAGGCCGCCCCTAGCGTTAGTCCATACTCCTTGGAAGAAGCGTCGGCGCACATTGAAAGTGATGGAGCACTTCCCCATCCACCATCTGGGGGAAAGACTGTTACTCCATTGAAGTCGCTGAGGAAGGAGCACCAGGCGGCGAGGTCGAGCTTAGCCTCAGCGTCCAAGTGGCATAGTCGCGAGGGGCGCTGGACACCCCGCATGAGGGGGTGCAGATGACGCAGGAAGGCCCGGCCGCTCAGAATTACCGCAGTGGCAAATTGCAACTTTCCAATAATCACCTGCAGGTTCCGGAGGGGGATGCGCTCTAGACTCAGCGCGTCTTCCACCGCCGCCGTGTACTTATTTCTCTTGTCCTCGGGAGTCTTGTTTCCATCCTACGAGCATCAATCTCCAGGCCTAGGAACGTGAGGCAGGAGCACGGGCCCTCGGTTTTGTGTGGTGCCAAGGGAACCCCCAATCGCGTGCAGAGGGCGGAGAACACCCGCAGGCTTTGTTGGCACTCGTCGAAAGTGAAACTGACGAAGAGGAAGTCGTCCAGTACCTTCACGATGTCGCGCACCCCGAACTTCTCGGCGAGGATCCTTTGCAGGGCGCTGGAAAAGGTCTCGAAGATCCGGCAGGAGGGGGCGGCTCCCATGCTGAGCATCTTCTCATAGTAGTACTTGCCGCTATAAGAAAACTCAAGGAGATGGTAGTCGCTCAGGTGTACTGGGACGATCCGGAACGCTTCTGCGATGTCGCACGTTGCCAGGTGAGCCCCTGGTGAACGGCTGACAACCATCGCCACCGCGTCGTTGATAGACTGGTAGGTGACGGACGTCGATTCCCTAGGGATGTTGGCGTTCACACTGTCAGAGGAGTAAGGGTAGCTGAGGTTGTGCAGGAATCGGTATTTGCCTGGCGTAGACTTCTCCCTCAAGGCTATGGGCGAACTTTTGAAATTCTCGAAAGGGGGGGCTTCGAAGGGGCCGGCGATGCGTCCTAGACTCAACTCCTTGTCGAGCATGGGCCTGACGATGTGCGGGAGGTCCGTCGTAGCCTGAGGGTTGCGTGAAGAAAGGGGGGTCCGCGCCCCTTCAAAGCCGAGTAGGAACCCCCCCTTGAACCCCCCCCTCACGACGTAGTCCCGTAGGGGGTAACCCACTAGCAAAGCATCAAGGGCGTCGGCGTCCACCGGCGTTGTTACTGCCGGCGTTCTTCTTACCCTTATCCTGTGGGTGTCGTCGAGGCCGCTAGTCATGGGAGGGTCCGTCGCATGGCTGAGTTGGGGGACAAGTGGTGTAAGCCGGGTGCCTCCTTCGACAGCACGGGCAGTAGTGCTTGAAGGAACATGATGTAAAATTGCAGCCGGGTCCCCTCGTGTGGTAGGAAAAGCAGTAGCCCGGGGGGAGCCCTGCGGCCCGGGCGCTAGAGAGAGTAAGGGCCACCGTTCGCCCCACTTGCCTTGTCGTCTGGACAGCGGCCTGGGCGACGCGCTGGAGCGAGCGGAATTCCAAGTTCAGCCTGTAATCAAGCCAAGAACAGTCTGACCTCTCCTTGTCCCATCTGAAGGCCTTGTCGTACCACATCGAATCACCTCTGAGGGTCGCCTTCATGGTCTTGACGTACCGAGCATAGGTGAACAGCGCCTGGGCCTCGGCTGGGTGCTTCTCGATGTAGATAGTTGCATAGATGTCGAAGCCATGCGCCCACTGGTCCGGCATCAGGGGCGGCTGCTTCTTAGCAGGCGTCTGGGGGTCAGGGGTGGACACGGCATGTCTCGAAGGGTCCTGCTTCGCACTCGTGAGCGAGCAACTCCCTGAGGTCAACGTACTTGTTAGCCCAGACCTTCTCCCGGAGGGCCTGAGGGATGTGCACGCCCAGGAGTGGGATGGTGGAACCCTGGGCGCCCGAAGGTGTCCCAGCCAGGGAATAGTAAGTGGGGGAGAAGCGCTCACCCTGGGAGACTCGCCATAAGAGGACGGGCTGGAGGAGCTGGCACGGCGCCTCGACGTATGCCCCCTGGCCCTGGACCGAGGGCGACGCTCAGTGGGGGAGGGCGAGGTGGCTGTGACAGCTGCGGCAGGGGCGGCCACGGTGCCTCCCCCGTCCCGGAGGTCTGTGACTAGGGAGGGACCCGTGACCCGTGCCTGCGCGATGAGGGCCTGCAGCGTCGCCCAGTCGTCTGCTGAAAGAGTTGGTAGCTGTGTCACTGTTCCACCCGTTGCTTTGCCAGTAGTGCACAGCTGGGAGGTGCGCTCGCTGTCCGTGTCCGAGCCGCCCGAGGAGGCCTCTGTAGAAGGGGAGGCGAAACGCGCGGGCTTAGTCCGTGCCCTGGCCGGCTGCGTCCTCGCACCGCTACGTTGCTGGCCTCGCGTCGACGCCGTCTGTGCCCTCTTCCGTATTGCAGATGTTGGGTGATCCGGCTTCTCGCCACTGGGGAAAGAAGGAACGTAAGCAACGGCCAGAATGACGTGGAGGCAGGCAGGGAATAAACCCGTCTGCTGCAGCAGCTAGCATAACATACACTGACAACTGTATTAATAAATTTAAATACAATGCGAGGATAGAACAGACGATAAACCATAGGCTCGAAAGAGGGGGGGGGGGCAAGGAAAAGCTGATGTAGGAGGACAGCCGCAACTACGTGCTGAAGGGGCAATACACGGGGAAAACAGCGAAAACCCGGCCGCAACAAGGCCGAGGGACCAGAGCCCCATGAACAGATAAGGGAACGGGGACGGGAAACCAAGTTAAGACAACATGAGTTGACGAGAGAAAAGTCTCGGCAACGAAAGGCCGGCACTACTAATACCTAAGTGACTTGAAGCCTTACAAGGCCTGATAGAGGAACCTGCACAAGTGCAGAAAGAGAAGGGGGAAACCCCCTGGGGGGGCCTGCCCCCCTTGGAGTGTTTCCTTGGCGTGCAAGGGCCAAGGAAACCTCTGCCGGGAATGGCACGCGATACACCTCAGACACTTGGGCATAGGCAAACAAAGGAGGCGGCTCCCGCAGGAGCGCACGCACAACTGGGAGGGAAAGGGGGATTAGCAGTGGGTTGAGGAGATGAGAGCGTCGCCGAAGGCTAACTGAAAGGCAAACAACCAGGCCTGAGAAAAGAAATAGGTCCTTAAGACGAAGGTCAAGTGGACATAGAATACCAGCTGGAGGTAAGTAAATAAAATTACGGAAGTAAAAGGACGGCAAACAGGGGAGAGACAAATGAATTGGGGGGGGGGGGCCGCCCTTAATGCAGCAACCCGCACATCCTAGCTGACATTACTAAATAACTTAAATGACAAAGTCAAGAATAAACAAGCATAAATGTAAAACCAGAGAGTAAAATAACATGCAGCTTAGGCAATGCATAACTTGCAGTAATAAATTGCTGATGGAACTAATCATAAAACAAGTCCAAGATGAACTTAAAGGAAGAGGCATATATGAGGCCCGTTACACAGCGGCTAGCACATCCTAGCTGACTTTACTTAATAACTTAAAGGGGATAAGCAAAAGTTAAACAAACATAATTGTAAACCAGTAATAAGTAAAATAAACGTGCAGCAAGAGCGATGCAAAATTGCGGTAATAATTTGCTGAGGAAACTAAACGTAAATGGAGGGCCAGAATAAACTTAAAGCAAGAGGCTAGGGGGGCCCGATCCCTGCAACTATCACATCCTAGCTGACTTTACTTAATAACTTAATGGCAATAATCAAAAGTTAAACAAACATAATTGTAAAACCAGCAAAAGTAAAACATGCAGCTTGACACTGCATAAACTGCAGTAATAAATGGAGGTAAACTTATGGTAAATGCAAGTCCAGGAAAACTTAAAGCTAGAGGCCTGAAACACAGCAGCTAGCTCAGCCTAGCTGACTTTTCCTAATAACTTAAAGGCAATAAGCAAAAGTTAAACAAACATAATTGTACACCAGTAATAGTAAATAAACATGCAGCAAGATGCTGCATAAATTGCGGTAATAAATTGCTGAGGTAAACTAATCGTAAATGCAGGGCCAGAATAATCTTAAAGCAAGAGGCAAGGGGGGCCCGTATCACTGCGACTATCACATCCTAGCTGGCTTACTTCAAATTAAAATCAAATCAAATGTTCATTTAGGTAAGGTACATACATACAAAAGATTTTACAAAGAGTGATGGATTTATAGATAGGGCTAGTACATACAATGCCTAAAGCCACTATTACGCAAAGCGTTTCGGGCACGAAAAACTTAAATGACTAAAGCTTAATACTAATTGAGCATAAAGAATAAAATGAGTTGAGAACAAATAAAAAAAAGAGATAAGAAGGGGGGGAACATGGCTGAAAAAGCAGCACAAATACAATTCGGTCGACAAACAGCGTCATTAAAAAAAAAACAGACATGGGTTGACAATAGAGGGGTAAGGTAGGTTGCAGGGAATTTATTAGGTATAGCTTCGTTTTTGTCTTGAACTGGTTGAGAGAGGTACAGTCTTTAACATCGTTGGGAAGGTCATTCCACATTCTGGGTCCCTTGATTTGAAGAGCATTTCTAGTTTGATTAAATCGTACTCTTGGAATATCAAAACTGTATTTATTTCTGGTGTGGTGCTCATGGGTTCTGTTACAACCTTCTATGAAGCTTTTGAGGTCAGGATTGGCATTACAGTTCAGCGTTTTATATATGTATAATACACATGAGAGAATGTGCAGTGACTTAATATCTAACATATTCAGAGATTTGAGTAGGGGTACCGAGTGATGTCTGGGGCCAGAGTTGGATATTGTCCTAATAGCAGATTTGTGTTGAGTAATTAGAGGACGTAAATGATTTTGGGTAGTAGAACCCCAAGCACAAATACCATAGTTGAGATATGGATAGATGAGGGAGTAATAGAGAGTCACCAGGGCAGGGCGGGGTACATAATATCTGATCTTAAAAAGAATACCAATAGTTTTTGAAACTTTTTTTGATATATTTAGAATGTGTCCCTGGAAATTCAGCTTGTGGTCAATGAGAACGCCAAGGAATTTGCCATCTAATTTGTTACAAATTTGGGTAAATGAAAAGCCTGAAAACATATTTTTTTTATATTGTTCTGATAGCAAACTTTTGCTGGGTGACGAATAACCAATAATAATCATATAATAACTATAATATTATATTTAATAACTATTGAATTAATTTATTAAAATTGAATAACTATATGCATGTTAAATAAATTTTAATTTGTTAATAGCGTTAGTTAGTTTAGTTAATGCACCCCATACCCATGTTGTGGGCGGTAGTGGAAAGGGTTACAGCGGCACATAATGGGCTCAGGGACTGAACCCCACAATTTATTTAGCTAAGCAAGTTACAGTCTTGATTAATAGCATTACAATACAATACAATACAATACAATTTTATTTAGGTAAGGTACATACATACAATAAATATTTACAAGGATTGTTTAACTTATAGGTATAGCTAGTACATACAATGCCTAAAGCCACTATTACGCAAAGCGTTTCGGGCATGATAAACTTAAATGACAAGCTTAATACTAATTGAGCATAATGAGTAGAATGAAAACAAGAAATGAAAACATAGATGAAAAAGCAGCACAAATACAATTATGTCGACAAACAGCGCTCTTTAAAGAAAAAAACAGACATTGGTTGACAATAGAAGGGTAAGGTAGGTTACAGGGAATTTATTAGGTATAGCTTCGATCACTTTTAACTTAAACTGGTTGAGAGAGGTACAGTCTTTAACATGGTTGGGAAGGTCATTCCACATTCTGGGCCCCTTGATTTGTAGAGCATTTCTAGTTTGATTAAGTCGTACTCTAGGAATATCAAAACTGTATTTATTTCTGGTGTGATGCTCATGGGTTCTGATACAACCTTCTATGAAGCTTTTGAGATCAGGATTGGCATTATAGTTTAGCGTTTTATATATGTATAATACACATGAGAGAATGTGCAGTGACTTAATGTCTAACATATTCAGAGATTTAAGTAGGGGTACCGAGTGATGTCTGGGGCCAGAATTGGATATTGTCCTAATAGCAGCTTTGTGTTGAGTAATTAGAGGACGTAAATGATTTTGGGTAGTAGAGCCCCAAGCACAAATACCATAGTTGAGATATGGATAGATAAGGGAGTAATAGTCACCAGGGCAGGGCGTATTATATTATGCTTTTAATATTGAGCAATGATGCAATTGACGATCACTAAACACTGGAGTGTTTCCCCATTTCTTTGTGGTTTTTCCGCATTGAGCAATGAATATATATACGAAACGTACTAATTTTGTGTCCGAAATGGTAAAAATATTTGTGTGCGCTCCGTACCCTCTGGAGAGGAGGCGCTCAGCAGAAGGGAAGTGTATAAGGGACAGCTCCTCCATTGTCCATACTTCTCTACGCCACCAGGCTTGGCTTTGCTGCTTCCAACCCAGCACCAAGCCTCGAGAAGGGTAAATCTTTATACAAACTGCATATATCACAAAGAAGACGGTAGAAGAAAGCCTTAATTATCCTTCCCAACGACTGTGTCTTCAGGAGACGTCCCCAGCTCACAAGACATGTTTTCTAGCATTAAAGTGAGATAACTCGCACAAACTGAACGATCACAAGGAAGATGAAACCTCACGAGTGTCCAGAATGTGGGAAAAGCTTCAGTCGTCTTGATCATATGAAGACACACAGGAGGTTACATACAGGAGATAAAACTCATGCATGCCCTGAATGTGGGAAATTATTCTTTCGTCTTGATAATATGAAGCAACACATGGTGATCCACACAGATGATAAACCTTTTGAGTGTGCCGAGTGCGGGAAAAAATTCAGATACAATAGCAATATGATGTATCACATGAAGGTTCATGCGGGGGTTAAACCTCACTTTCCTCACAAGTGTCAAGAGTGTGGGAAAAGCTTCAGGCGCCGTAGCCAAATAATAAGTCACATGTCAATTCATACCGGTGATAAACCTCATGAATGTCCAGAATGTGGGAAAACATTCACTCGTCTCGACAATATGAAGAAACACATGATAGTGCATACAGGTGATAAACATCATGAATGTCCGGAATGTGGGAAAAAATTTAGTCGTCTTGATTGTATGAAGAATCACATGATATTGCATACAGGGAATAAACATCATGAATGTCCAGAATGTGGAAAAACATTCAGCCATCTTCATAATATGAAGAAACACATGTCAGTGCACACTGGGGTTAAACCTCACACGTGTCCAGAATGTGATAAAAAATTCAGCCGTCTTCAAAGTATGAAGACACATAGGAGGGTGCATACGGGCATTAAACGTTTTGAGTGTGCTGAATGTGGGAAAAGATTTAGAGAACGTAGTGGTATATTTAGTCACATGTTAGTGCATACAGAGGATAAATGTCACAAATGTCCCAAGTGTGGGAAAACATTCAGTCGTCTTCAAAATATGAAGAAACACAGGATGGTGCATACTGATGATAAACCTCATGAGTGTCCAGAGTGTGGGAAGAGATTTAGAGATCATTGTAATATGATAAGGCACATGCTAATACATGTGGATGCTAAACCTCATGAATGTCCCGAGTGTGGGAAAAGATTTAGACATCATAATAGTGTGAAAAAACACATGTTAGTGCATACGGGTGATAAACCACATGAATGCCCTGAGTGTGGGAGAAGATTCAGCCTTCTTGATAATATGAAGGCACACAGGGTAGTGCATTCGGATGATAAACCTTATGAGTGTCCAGAATGTGGGAAAAGATTCAGACACCGTTACGGTAAAATAAGTCACATGTTAGTGCACACTGATGATAAACCTCATGAATGTCCGAAGTGTGGAAAAAGATTTAAGCATCTTACTAGTATGAGAAAGCATGTATTAATGCATTCAGGTGATGAACCTCACTAGGCCTGGTGTGTTGTCTTGAAAGGGGGGGGGGGGGGGGGGAAAGAGGTATTATGATGACCAGACCACATACTAGAAGGTGAAGGGACGACGACGTTTCGATCCGTCCTGGACCATTCTCAAGTCGATCGACTTGAGAATGGTCCAGGACGAACCGAAACGTCTTTGTCCCTTCACCTTCTAGTGTGTGGTCTGATCAACATACTTTAGCCACGTTATTGTGACTCATCGCCTGCAAAGAGGTATAATATTTATTTTAAAAGGTTGTGATGTGATTCAGTAGTGTGGGCTATACTGGGCAGATGGAATGTGGCACACACTTTGCATTAAAATAAAAATGATGTATTGGCCTTCGTAGTGTGAAAATCGCACAGGAGTGAAGGAATATCCAAGTGAAAAATTATGACTACTGTATTTACTCTAATATCAAAATGAACAAATAACATATAAAAATTTTTACAACACCCTGAGTTGACATACTTGGCTAGCACATATGAGAAATAATAATCAGACAAATATATATACACCTGTACATACTATTGTTAGCACAAAAATAAGGATGACACTGAAATTTTTAACATTAAAAACATATAAAACCTGCATATGTGGAAGCGGGAGGCAAGTGATGTGCAGAGGCAGAAGTGTTGATTCCCCTGAACACCTGAGATAGACTGCTGAAGTGACCAAGGTCATGGGTATTTATACCCCTGATGGTGACGTCACATCCTTTGTCACCGAGGCTTGGAACGATGAGCCGGCGGTGTAACAGGTGGTTACCTAGACGTAACGAGGAACCGGCAGGTCTTGCAGCTGCCACCTGCCTGGGGCTTATGGGCTGGGTGGAGGGTGTACTGGTGGTGGTGTCCAGACATTTGTCTGGGTTGAACTCCATACATGTCGTAATACAAGGTATGCAGAGTGATGAACAACGAAGGTGAGAAGGAAGAGGCAGTTTCCTCTGCTATGCTGGGGAATTATGTGACAGCACCCAGAATGTCAGTGAACCAATACAGACCATTGCTGGGTTCAAAGTGACTGTAGCCTCACAACCTTCCTACTGAACTCCCCAAACAACGTAAACATTCATTTGAAATTTTCTTTAAACAAGCGTATGCTCGTTTGCCCTACCCCTCTCACTCGATTGTGGAGGGAGAGGGGGTGCCGGGGCTCATGCTGTCCACTGAATTAAGCCCTCAGTTCCTCTGGGGATGTGACGCCTTTCAGACGTTTGCAGTAGGACCCCCAGGGTTCCAAGCAGGTATCATCAGTAGCTGTGGCTGACCCTAGTACTTTTCAGATAAGTGCTTCTCTGGACTTGTCCTGTGTGCTTTGTTTTGTGCACTGTTGTGTAGTGTAGGTTTGGGTTTAGTATGCTTGGAGCTGCATGAACTCGGAGCTCTCTTCCTTGAGTGCTCTCTAACACTGCCCCTGCACTGACAGAGTTCTCTTCTCTGGTATGTTTGGGAGTTTGCTTCTTCAGTGGTCCTTCCTGCATGGGGTAGCCCTCACCTTGGGTAATTATCTAAGTGTAGTTAAGGGATGAGAGCTATGCTTGTGATGTCCTAGCTTCCAAGTACAGTACTCTGAAATTACTGATGGTTTTGGCCTCCACTACCACCTTACTTGTTCCAACCATTTTCCACTCTGCAAAAGTGATGATTTTTTGTTTATACTGTATACAAGAGTTCTAACATTCATGTACAGCTACTAGCACTTATAGCATTTCGGATAAGTTCTTAATCCTAATTTTCACATATCCCCAGGAAGCAGCTCGTAGCAGCTATCTAACTCCCAGATACATATTTATTGCTAAATGAACAGGTGCATCAGGGTGAAAGAAACTCTGCCCATTTGTTTCCGCCTCCACCGGGGATCAAACCCAGGCCCTTAGGACTACAAACCCCGAGAGCTGTCCACTCGGTCGTCAGGTCCTCCCCCCCCCCCCTATTTTTTTTGGGGGGGGCAGCTTTGTTTCCTTAGCTTTAACCTTTGACCTCATGTATATTTAACTATTTATATTTATATTTATTAACTATGTATATATATATTTATTAACTACCCTGTATGTATATTTATATTTATTACTATGTATATTTACATTTATTAACTATGTATATTTACATTTATTAACTATGTATATTTATATTTAACACCACTAATCTTTCTTTGTAGCTCTTATTTTTCAGTTCCGTAAGCCATTTAGTTGTGTCATTGTACCTTTTCTAGTTTAGTGATGTGCTTCTTAAGATATGGGCACCAAACAACTGCTGCATATTCTAAATTTTGTCTCGCAAAGGTCTTGAATAATTTCTTTAATATTTTGCCATCCATGTATTTAAAAGTAACTCTTCAGTTGGAAAGTTTAGCATGCGCTGCTTATACAGTACAATATTCTTTGTGTTCCTCAGGTGACAGCTTTTTATCCAGAACCTTCCATAGATTTTTATATCTGAATTCTTTAAAGCTTTTTCACATAATTTGTAGGCTGTGTGTGGCCTATTTTCTCCTATTCTACATTCCATAACATGATATTCATTCACATTAAATTCCATCTGCCAAGTGTTGCTCCATACACTTATTTTATGAAGGGCTTCTTGAAGGGCTTGGCAATTGTCTAAGTTTCTTACCTTCCCTAGTAGCTTGGCATCATCAGCAAACATATTCATATAATTCTGCATTCCTTCAGGTAGATCATTTATATAGACAATAAACAATACTGGTGCTTGGGTGAGTCAGGGGGGGGTCTCATTGCTCCACTGTCATGATCCGGGTAGGGAGCGAGCTTTGGCTTATGAGGGGCACTGGTGGCTTGCGAGCTTGTGTATATGGTGTGCTGAGGTCTACCTTCACTTTCTTGTAGCCCAGGCTGTGTCTACTTACTTGTAGGTCCAGCGTAGTGTCTTCAGTGCCTGGGTGTCTTGCTTTATTTACCCTTCAGGACGTGAAAATTGTGGAAATTCTATCTGAACCTGTTCCTTCTTTGTGCGAGCTTGAGGGTTCACGCCATGGGGCGATGATCATTCATTTTGCCTCCATCATGCCACTTGTGTCTGAAACAACTACGACCCAGAGTCCTGTGGGGTTTGCGTTCCCAATGTGACTCTTTTATTTGACCATCCTACTCAAGTTAGTGCATATCAGACAGCTACTGCTTTTCAGGCTCATTTTGCCTGCTTGCACAAGTCTAGGTTATGTGCCCAGTTGGATGTCCCAGAGTTGGCCTTCCTTCTGTTTAAGGACCCAGAATTAGAGGTGTTGGTAAACTCCACCTTGGCTCCATCTGCACCTCCTCTCCTTTTCCTTACTGGCCTGGTTCGCCCTGGCTCTGATCTTCGCCTACTGCTTCCGACCTTGAAGCATCCGAGGGTTTCTTGTTCGGGGCATGGTTTAACTCGGGATGTGACTCGGCTGCTTCTAATTTGGGCATGGAGGCGTTGAGCCAGCTAATCTTGCTGTGGTTTCAGGTTTGTCTTTCCAGCCAGCCGTTTCTTCTTCTAAGACCTCTCTTTTGGACTCTCTCTCTCTTCCAGGAGATGGCCGAGGACACTGGCTCTGCCCCGGTGCCTTCGTGGTTGGTTCTCAGGGTGTGGGCGACGAGGACCTATGGATTTCCTTGGATCTCAAGTGGGTCTTCCCTTTAGATAAGAGCCTTTTCTCTGTGTACCGGTAGGCCCTTTGGAACTGTCCTTCCAGAGGGTTTCCTTTTTTCAAATCTCTCTGTTGGCAGATTGGGAGGATTTGTTTGATGTCTGTATTGCACTCGCTTAGATATCTCGTTTGACAGGTGATGCACTCACTGAAACAACTTGGTTGTAGGTACATTATAGTGATTTATTGAAAACTCCCACAGATACACAGGGCTCACATTCAGTTTTTAAGGCCTCCAGTGATCAGATGCTATCTTGATAAAAATTGTCTGCATCCCTCCTGGCTGAGAGTACCTCAATACTGAGTGAGCAACCAAGGAGAGAGCATGCAGGAGGAGCTTACAGCACTGCTGTGCTGCTCATGGCAATGGCACCACTTAATAATAAATAAAATAAGTAACCTAAATTATTTCATGATAGTGTCATATATGATCCTGTCTGTGCAAGTACAAGTTTTGGATATCAATATGATGTTCACAGTGCATATGATGTTCAGTGCATATTAGTGATAGGAATATTTTGTGTGCATTGATGTTCTGCACAATTCATTATTTTGATATTTCTCAAATTACACACTACAAGTATTGCATAATATAATACAAACTGCAAAATATAACTGTAAAACAGCAGTGAAGAAACAAGTCAGGGACACTGAAATCAATCAGTATAAATATATTTGCAGCAACTTCCGCTGCCTGCCTGTCCCAAGCGACCTCCACAGGGTGTCTCATTCATCAGTACTGCAACATTGATGGTGCTACTAGTCTTCCCAGCTTGGCGCTTCTCTTTGATAATTACTTACTCGCCCATTAGTGCTCATAAATCTGTGACATTGCCATGACTTTCCTCTCTCCACCACTGCCAAAGTAAGCTACATGCATTTTTTTTTTAGTTTCTGTGATAAGGGAATGCATTTTAACAATACAGGGTATTAGAAATACAAAATTTGATCTCAATTTTTTTTGTGCACCATGTGCACATATGAATCAGGTGTACGTGCAGTGGTTAAGTACATCTTGCATGACCCAAAGTAGAGTATTCCTCTTTTTGATGGCCCCTGCCTCTTTTGAGTTTGGGTTTTCTTACACATTTTGGTTGCATTATAAAATCCTGGAATCATCTTGGCTAGCGGATCCTCTGGGCTTGGCATTTGTCGTTCCTGCATACTTGAGTAGTGTGAGGTGGGAACCGTGTATCAGGTTCTTATGGACAGCCTTTCTTTTGTGCTGCTCAGTGACTGTATGTTGCTGCTCTTTCACAGGATGTGGGCTTGGTGCAGCTCCATGCCCAAGTGCTTTTGTTCAGGCATCCCTTGTGATGGGGGACTTTCGGGCTTGCTTTCATCTGGCTTTGGTCATACAGTTTCTGTCTATCGTGGAGCTCAACTCCGAGTTGCTCTACAAGGACATCGAGGCACATGGCTCTGGGCCTGGTGTGAGTGCTTTCATGTCTACTGCGGCAGTATCAGCAACTTTGCCCAAGCTGTATGCAACTGTGTCCCAGGAGGTGGTGGCCATATTCTATGCTGCCCACCTCAAGTGTCAACAGGTTGTCTTAGTTCAGTTGTTAGAATTGGCTTCGGCCCCTGGCCCTCTTGTCCACCTCCCCTTTATTGCCTCTCCTCTTTCCTGAGGATATGGTTAGTCAGTTTCTCTTCTGCTGCAGGATATTGTCAACCTCTTTTGAAACTTCTTTGTGCTTGTAGTTTATGGTCATGTTTCTGGAGGCAGTTGGTTAGGGCTGGGGCTTTGCTTTCTGTTGGTCAAGGTGGTGAAGCCAGATTCTGGGTCATGTGCTTCTCCCATGGCCAGTTCGTTCTCTGCTGGTCAGTGCCATGCTTATGCTTCATGGAGAGCTGCTGCCTCTCGTAGTTTGCGCTGGCCCTGTCACATTTTGCCCCTTTGATGGGGTGGTGGCTCACCCAGTTTGCCAGTTCCTGGTCTGACAAGAATTTGTGGGCTTTTAAGGTTGTTTCATACAGCCAGTGGTTGAGTTAATCAGTCCCAACCCCTATTTCCGAGGAATGGAGCTGTCAGGGTATCACTCTTTCCCATGCCTTCATCAGGTCATCTCAGAGTGAGTTGCTTCTGGCATGGTCAAAACAACCACATGTCTTCAGTGGGTGTCCTGTCTCTTCTTGGTTCCAAAATTGAACTTGTCAGAGCTCCTGTTCACCCACGATCTATCAGGTTTGAACCACTTCATCCTTGCTGTTGTTTTAGATTTTGCTACTCGGAACAAAAAGTTCCAAGTAAAACGGACTATGGTGAGCCCGTAGTGGACTTACCTGGCACAGGAGCTGGGATGTAACGTCTTCATCCCTTACCCCACATTCTGGATGATCACTTTGGCCCAGGTTCATCTCATATTGGAGGCAGGCTTATGTATGATATCCCTGGACCTCTAGGATGTGTACTGACATATCTCTATTCATTCAGGGTTTAGGAATTGCTTCGGTTTAATCTCGAGGCATTGGGTTTACCACTTTCAGCTTCTTCCTTCAGCTTGAGTCTAACTCCCCACAGGTTCATCGGGATGGCTTGGGTCATGGTAACTCATTGTCATTTGTTGGGGGGGGGGGGTTGTGTTCTGGCCTACCTTGACGACTGGCTGGTGTTAATCCCTAGTCAGTCTGCATTTCTGCTAGCCAGGGATCTGGTTCTTTCCCAGCTTGCCAAGTTCAGGTTCCTGGTGAACTGCTGGAAGTTCCAGTTGGTGCCATCCCAGGTTTGGATTTGGCTGGGCCTCATGTGGGATTCTTGGTCGACGTCACTTTCCCTTCATCCAGTGGCTTTACTTTGGTTGCAGCACTATCACCTGCTGGTGTTGAGGCTGTCTCAGGTGACTTGACGGTTACTTGAGAGGTTGTGCAGTTGCCTGAACTTTGCCTGCATGGTTTCCCACTGGACAGAATGTGGCTTCGGAGTTTCTTCTGGTTTCTCCAGTTCTGCCCCATTTCTCCATCACTGTGACCACTAGGTGCAGGCCCTGCTTGCCCTTTGCCAGCTGCTGCATCGCTGTCTTCCTCTTTGGGATTGGTTCCCTGGCATCTGCCTCTCCCCTCGCTCGACATCTTTACGCCACCTCAGCTCTGGGTTGGGGGCTTCATGACCAGTGCTCACAAGGTTGCTCAGGGTTGTTATTCTTGTCTTATTCATTGGGCACACAGTACAGTGCGGGAGTTTGTGGCCATGTGGCAGGCCCAAAGAAGGATTCGGATCCATCACTACCTTTGTGCCACTGATTCTGTCTCAGTGGATGCTCTGTGGACTAATCCTGTTTCCTTGGTTTCCTGTTCCAAGGCTTATGCTTCTCACACTGTCCACAGTGTTATCAAATCTAGCCAGTGTGCAGTCTATCCTCGTGCCCATGATATTTATAAATACTCCACTCTTTCGGCTGTTTTTGCAAATACAGGGGTACCTTGGTTTAAGAGTTTTATCCGTTCCTGGAAACAGCTCATAATCCGAAAACTCGTAAACCGAAGCTAATTTCCCCATAAGAAATAATGGGAAATGAATTAATCCGTTCCTGACTACCCAAAAACCTCACTTCAACTAAATTTTATACCTAATTCATCTAAATCTTCACTACAAAAGTATGTTATTACTTACCTTTGCTGATGAGTGCTGTTGGTGTATGGAAGATAGGGAGGAGGAGAGGTGTTACTGTTTGGAAGGGGAGTCCCCTTCCATTATAACATCAGGCAGTGAGGACTTCACTGGTGTGCACTCTCTGGCACGTTTTGCCTGCATACCACTAAGACTTGCTTGTCTTTCTAAGAAGCTGTCTAAAGACACTTGTTT